TATTTAAATATAGATTGTGATTTATTTCAAACGATAGTGCCTATGACGACAAACTATTAGTTTTCTTTTTTCTACTTTTCGTATATTATATTGATAGATAGATATCTATCTCACGCTCTACGTATTGATGAGGTTTCAACGCTGTCAGTACTCGTTCAACTTATTATTATGGCGATATAATTAATTAGGGTTGATTGACGGATCTAGGACTTGCCGATTCATCGACATTGATATATGTATGTATTCATACATAATATATAACCCTACAATTGTTTTATGAATAGATAAAGTGATGTGATCTTTGTGGTGCTGATGTCTATTTTGTACCATGTCAGTTCGCGGGTTCGAATCTCACGTGAGCTTGTTTAGGTTTGTTTTATCGACACGTTTGGCTCTGGGAACGTATCACGAGAAAACCACTGGACAGATTTTGATGAAATTTGATATTGATAGCTGGTTATTCTAATCAAAATATAGGATACTTTTTACTGCGGGAAAACATCTCATCTTTATAAAATCTATACTAAACGTTAAAATCTCGCTAGTAAATAAAATCAAAATAAACAAATCTTATTAATCAGTAATCACTATACTCGTATTTACTGTTTAGTTGATCCTTTAAATTGAAATATTAATATTAATTGTATTATTTTTTTGTATAGGAGTAGAACAGTGATCTGTTTCATAACATTATCTGCTAGGTATTATCTCAATATTAGCAAAAAGACATTTTTGAGGTGCCATATGTTTAAAAAAATTCGAGGAGGTGAAGTTCTGTACTAAGAAGACTATATATGATAGATGACGAGGTCATTAGTTAATCCATTTTTAAGGTTTTGTTTCGTTAAATGATCGTTCTAAAATCTAAGTTCAAAATAAACACTAGAAAATCTTAAATGTACAAAAACTTTGAGCTCGTTTGAACCGGTGAAAGATCAGGCCCACGTGTCGGACCTTTACGTGCTATCCAGAAATGGGTTCGAAACCGAAAACTTCCCGACTCCGGCCGGTTATTAGGATTTTCATAACAGAAACACTCAATAACTAAACTTGACCCGACCCCGGACTTAAACCCAGGACCTTCGGAATCCTAGCCACTAGACGATCGAGGTAGTTGACCTTGACCTAGACCTTGCTATATATTAATGCCAAATTGATTAAAACGATAAAAGCTACCGAACATTATATGTAAGTATCCTATTTTATAGTATTAATTAGAAATTGTTTTACTATCAAAGCAATTAAGTTTCATTGTGAACATTTATCATGTACATGATATCGAAATAATTATAGCTTTAATATTGTATATACACGAAATATATACATATATCGAAACGGTTAATGATGTTTCAATTATGCTAATAAGTACTGTCGTATGCTATGATAATACTAGTGGCTCACCCTCCCTTCACTCGGGTTCACCTCAAGAAAACCAAAACAAATGTATCCCACGGGAACCGTACATTATTCCGGGATAAAAAGTACCGTATGTACTATTCCAGACTACAATCTATCTCTGTGTCAAATTTCACCCAGATTCGTTCAGCCGCTCCGGCGTGATTGAGTAACAAACATCCAAACATCCATATAAGCTTTCACATTTATAATATTATTTAGATTGTAACATACTGAAATATCACTCGGCTTTTGTATGCAAGCTCAAGGCTTCCTCTTATTTTTGTTCGTATTTAAAAAGTTTTATATAAAACCTTATTGACCCTTCAGATAATTTCACTTTTTAATCCAAATGTATAGAACAGTGCGTCACAATTATTTATGGATAGAACCCCAGAACTAATAAAGTTTGAATAAATATTATATGCTGTTTTAAATAAATAAGAAAGTTTATAAGAAAGTATTAAGTATATGCTATTTGATAATAATGTCATAAGATTTTCCAAAAAATCTTTAATGTATAGTTACAATTTTATATATGTATAGATTTGTATATATATACTAGTTTTCACTCATAGCTAAAAAGCTTTGATATTTTTACTTTATAATCCAAGATAAAAGCTATCTTTATTCCGAACTTCATTTTTAATTTTTATTTTAAACTATTCTATACTAGATTGCGCCCAGTAGATTAACTCGACTTGTATTATTGAAAATTCATAAATAATAATACGGAACTACTTGATTGATTTTACCTATCTATAAAAAAAACGTTTTTTTTTATTGATAACACTAAAGCTTGTCAATTGCTACTTCGCAAAAAACAAACAAAATCCATTGACAAACAGAGAAGGAAAAGGTACTGAACTCTTTTGTCTTTGTCTATTTATATATAGACACTAGCGACTCACCCTCGCTCCGCTCGGGTTCATCCCTAACGTGGGCCACCCTTATCACTTAGGGGTATGGAAAATAGATAGTAGCCGATTCTCAGACCTACTGAATACGCATATAAAATTTGGTAAAAATCGGTAAAACCGTTTCGGAGGAGTACGGTAACTAACATTGTGACATGGAAATTTTATATATTAGATTTAACTCCCACTGTAGTTAATGTTTGAATCTACATCCTGTGAATTACGAACGACTAATTTTACTATCGGGTTAAATTCCAAATATTCTAGGAATGTTCCTAAGTCAGTGGGAAGAGGGTAAAGGTTAGAGGGCAGTGTGCCAAAAGCCATATTCCAACTTCTATATCATTTTCGATGTCACAGTACTCCATCAATAAGAATAGTAAGCAAATATCTGCATTGGTCATTTAATATTTGCTTGAGTGTTTGTAATAAGCACTAAGGGTACTTTAACGAGAGTAGAATATTTTTCTTTATTTTGATGACTCGTTTGGCTCTGTTTGTAATGACCCTACTTGCTGTGCCAGCGGTCGCAAGTTCGAGTCTCGTTGGGGGCATTCATTTGTGTGACGAGCACGAATGTTTGTATTCCAGTCATGTGTATTTATATGTATTTATAATATGTATGTATTTAAAAGTTATATAATATCTGTAGTGTATCAACTATCTGGTATTCATAACACAAGCCTCGTAGCTTACCATGGAACTAGATGGTGCTGTGTGTTAATGTCCCAACATATTTATTTATTTTTCGCTGTATATATTATAGTTTTTTCTCATATAGGTAATATAGTATACATTCGAGAATTCAAAAATATATAAATATTTTTTTTTATTTAACTCCTAATTTAAAAAAAGGTATAAGAATGAATGAAATAATGTGACTGTATTTTTGGGAAAATTGTATTATATTTAGATTTTTAATATTAGGTACGGTATTTTTATATCCAAAAAATATTTATAATTAAAATGGAAATTTACGAAGGATGTTTTCACGTTATCTCTTTACGCAGGCAAAGTTACAGGCAAAAGCTAGCTTAAATATATAAAGAACATATTCAAAAGGTTACTCTGTAAATAAAACAGATACAGAACACACACACATACATATACATATGTATTATGTGCATATATCATCTAATAATTAGAAAGCAATCTTAAAATCAAAACGCAAACTTTTGGTGTGTAGATAGATAATTAATCAGACCATATAACATATTTCTAAGCAAAACCTAAGGCGATTACTAGTTTCGATTTTAACAACATAAAGCATTTTCGTTAAACTATCATTTTATAAAGCTATCTTACCGCATCTCCCATATAAATTTTAATCTACCTCATCTATTCCGTAGAAGTGGCACTCAAGAACTGAATGAGTTTCAATGCAGCATCCATTGTTCATTTTCAGAACCTCATAAAAGTTAGATGTTTTAGATATTATAAACTTATGTTTTGCTATTATAATATGAATATATTTTCATATAAATTTATATAATTTTAGTTTAAGATATCTTTTATTGTACGTAGCGGCTAATCCTTGCTTCGCTTGTGTTCGCCTCTAGACAAACAAAACTAAATTTATCCTATGGGAACCGTACATTTTTCCGGGATAAAAAGTAGCCTATTTGTTATTCTGATGTATGAAGTATATAATTGTAAAGTTTCATTAAAATTCAATCAGTAGATTTTGTGTTTGTGTGGTTGAATGTCTGTATATAGAAAAAAAATGCTAAAAACCGAGTCAGAAGGGTGTAAGCCAGATTTTTTTCAACTTTTTTGTTTGTCTCTGCTTGTCAGTTTGTCTATTTGTCTGTTTGTACGGGCTAATCTCCGAATCTATTGGACTGATTTAAATAAAATTTTGTATGGTGGTACTTTATATTCCCAGTCAACATCTTAGATACTTTTCATCCCGGAAAATTAAAGAGTATCTATGGGATGTTAAATAACTATAGTAACTTATACAGCTTAGTACACAACAACTTATGCACCTAATTTAGTAAAATTTGGCATGCTGATACCTTATATTACCAGTCAAACAACAGGTTACTTTTTGTCCCGGAAGAATGAATGGTTCTCATTGGATAGATATGTTTGTGCTGTTTAGTTTATAGTTATACATATTATAATTAAATTCTGAGTCTGTAGATAAAATATTTTTTGGAAAATCTTATTGAAATAGTCATTATTATCGATACAGAGGCCGAACCTATAGTTTTTAGACTTTTTTTCTGTCTATCTGTTTGACTGCGAATGCATCACGAGAAAACTAATAGACAGATTTTAATGAATTTTGGTATCATGATAACTGGTTATTCGGGTCAACATATAGGATACTTTTTACTGCGGGAAAATATCTCATCTCTGAGAGAGTGAGTTGCTAGTTATTCATATCTTTATCATTTCATATCCCTATATGAAAACATTCATAGATATACCTGCAACTCTAGTGAATTTAATTGTTTTTAAAAAATGGAGCAGGTTTTTTGTTTATTGGTCAGAGAGTCATTTCTATGAAATTTATTGAAACTTAAGCGCATTTCTGGTCATATCAGGTGGGTAGACCATCAGTCAAAATAATATAATACCATTCAATTATTTAAAAATATCAAGAGAAGCACCTCCTTTAATTGATGAACAGATGTTGCCTTATTCAACAATGATTTTATTGACAATTTTCAATATTTTCAGTAGAAGTGGAGCGGCTGTTACGCGAGTATCCACAAAACCAGGACCTGGTGCGCAACATCGGCTCCCACTTTTACCAAATCATCTACCCCGTGCAGCTTCGCCACCACGAAAAGATGGGCATTTCAACAAGGGAGGTCAGCACGCCCAAGGTAAGAACCTAATAAGTACCTAATTCAACCATTTTTGTCATTTGTGCCCATTGCTGGGCACGATCTTCCCCTCAATGAATCAATCAATCAAGGATCTCTCAGACATGCACATAAAATTGTATATGAATTTATTGGATTCCATCGTGCATTTTGATTTGATTTAGAGATTTTTACCAGTTTTTCTCAATTTTGAGACACTTTCTATCGAAACTGGTCGATTTATGATCTTCAGTAAAGATTATAATAATATAATTACTTAATAAAATATTTGAATTTTGAATTTTTATGCTGGATACTGTATACTGAACTAAACTAGAGTGACCCGATAATTCAAAAAAATAATAAAAAAATCTAAGTTTACGAAAGTATCACGTAACATACACAAATAGCTCCCCATTATATTAGTAAGTTTTAAGGATTAATGAACTGCTTCTCTTTCAATAAATTATTTATTTAGGCTGTAAATCAATTGTGCTTACAGATAGACTAATGAGTGGCAAGAGTCCAAAACTAGAAGGCACTTTGTCGAGTAGGAAATGTGAAATGAATAATATAAAGCTCGTAAGCTCTCAATAACTCAGTTTATTAGTGTACAGACGAAAGCTCTAATAACATTTCAATAATATTATGTCATAACGTAAATTCGTCATGTTAATTAAGATTTCCATATAATTCGAATGAGTGCGCGTCGACAGATTTTTTTTGAAAGAAGGTACCATAGCAGTGATTAATGTCGCTCCACTTTCCCGCGAGTTTTTCTATTAACGCGAAACTTCGAAAGCACTTTTTGTTTTGTATTACTCAACGTCTGGAATGGAAAAAATGATATATTTGCGTCCTAATACAGTGTGATATTAAATATGCCAACTCAACGTGTGGATTTGCTTGTGGGAAATTATACCATTATGACGGGGGTTGCAGTTTGATTTTAGCTAGGGGTAAATTTCTTATTATACATATTTATTTTAAAACTAGCGGCTCACCCTCGCTTCGCTCAGGTTCACCTCTAGAAAAGCATAAACAGATCTATCCCACGGAAACCATTCATTTTTCCGGGATGAAAAGTAACCTGTTGTTTGACCGGCAATATAAGATATCAGCATGCCAAATTTTACTAAATTAGGTGCGTAAGGTGTTGTGTACTAAGCTGTATAAGTTACAATATTGGTTTTTACTATCCCACGGAAACTCTTTAGTTTTCTGGAATGAAAAGTGGCTGATTTGTTTTTGTCATGTATGAACTATATTATTGTAAAGTTTCATCAAAATCCAATCAGTAGTTTTTGTGTACTAAGCTGTATAAGTTGTTATAGTTTCTTACCTATCCCACCGGAACTATTTAATTTTCCGGGATGAAAAGTATCTAAGATGTTGCCCGGGGATATAAGATACCACCATGCAAAATTTCATTTAAATCAGTTTAATAGCGGAGATTAGCCCGTACAAACAGAAAAACAGCTTTCTCGGGTTCGTCCATACCTACGAATATGTTATACTATCTCTTTAACTATTTGTCCAAATTATATGCAGTAAAAGGGAAAAGTCTTTTGTTTTAAATATTTTAGACGATAAATTTACTTATTTTGATAAGAATTCATAACTGTTGATAATATGACCAATAAACATGACCTACCGATTTAAATTATTTTTTTAATATAAAAAACTACTTTTTGTGACTTAAATATAAAAGTTAGACATATGCTGTCGTTGACTTTTTTGTAGGCATTATTAAGCTCTACAACTTTTCTCTAGAACATAATCATATATCTCTCATCGTTAAGGCAGCGTTCGTAAGAAACGTTTTCGTTCGACCGTTTTTTCTCCGACTTACTTTGCAAATCCGACTACCACGAAAAAGCCTTTTCATTTTTCGGTTTAATATATAGCTTATGACACTCAGGAAGAACGTGGCTTTCTATTGGTAGAAGAATTTTGAAAATCGGTTCAGTAGATCCAGAGATTACCCCCTACAACGTCACAAACTCACAAACTCACAAACCCACAAACTCACAAACTCACAAGATCACAAACTTTACCTCTTTATAATATTAGTATAGATAAGTTATTTTGAGACTAGATTCGGTTGTTAATTAATATATAATTCTTTCACTTTACTTATCTTTCAACTATTTAGTATAAAGCAACAGTACAGTCAAAGGCTTTGACGACACGTTTGACTCAGTTTGTAGTGACTTTACTTGCTGTGCCTGTGGTCGCGTGTTCGAGTCCCACTGGGGGCATTCATTTGTGTGATGAGTACAAATGTTTATACTCCAGTCATAGGTATTTATATTTATAATATGTAGGTATGTATTTAAAATTATAGATATATGTGTAGTGTATCAACTATCTCTTATCCATAACACAAGCCTCGTAGCTTACCATGGAACTAGATGGTGTTGTGTGTTAATGTCCCAATATATTTATTTAAGTCAAATGTTATTTCTAACGGTTTCAAGTATAAATAATAGACGTTTATTGAAAGCAAAGACACAACTCATCATCATAATTTTGATCTCAAAAACTGTTAATGTTAATCCGATTTATAAACCAAGCTTTTTCACATACTTTTAATATTAAAAAGACTCGCTTTGCGTTTTATCTATTTACCATAGATAAGTTAATTTCTATAATAAGCATCGTTAAAGTAAACAAAATAATGTATGAAACTAGCATACTCTGAACGTGACATAAATCTGAGATATTTATAATGAGTTATAATATGCATTTTGAAGTGAAACTCCTTTAGAATAGTTGTGATTTTAACTCGATGAAACGGAAATGCAACACTAAAAAGAAACAAACACATAAATATATAGGATTGAACCGGCGAGAGAACGAGATAAAATACATTGTCTTGTTGCCATGGTCACCGTTGTTATTTGAGATAGAATATATTACACTGTAAGTCAAAAATAATAAAATTAATTACTGAATAATATATAATGTACATATATTTATGTCAAATAATATATAAAATAACTTTTAAACTTGGTAAAAATATAAAACTAAATAAACCTCATAATTATCCAACTCCTGATATTCTATATTCATCTCATTCTCTCGTAGGTTACTTTTCTGAAGTTTTACTTCTACCGTGTGTGAATTGCACAAACACGCACTTTTTTCTAACTTTCCATCTGAACTCGAAAGTCAATGAAGTTTCGCAAATAAATCATCCAATTTTATACCCATTGACTTTTCAGACTTTGATTTTGAATGGAAAGTTCTATTACCTATCATCACATTAGTTCCAGTTATGGATAAGAAGTTATAAATGGGCTTCGTTTGATTTCCTTTTTTCTATAAAACTAGCGACTCACCCTTGCTTCGTTATGGGTACGGTACAGGTAGTATGGAATAGATAGACTATTATCTTAATCTTATATATAAAATTTCCATGTCACAATGTTAGTTACCGTACTCCTCCGAAACGGCTTTACCGATTTTTACCAAATTTTATATGCGTATTCAGTAGGTCTGAGAATCGGCTACTATCTATTTTTCATACCCCTAAGTGATAAGGATAAGGGTGGTCCTCCCAGACCCCACCCCAGGGACGAACCCGAGCGGAGCGAGGGTGAGTCGCTAGTATATATGTATATATATATATATATATATATATATATATATATATATATATATATATATATATTTCTTCTATGCGTGTGTTTGTCACCTAACTCCTCCTAAACGGCTAGACCGATTTAGATGAAATTATTGTATATATTTCGATGGGTTCCTGAATAGTTTTAAAAATATAATTGGACCCGGTAGGTAGCGCTGAAGTCGGTGTGTGATAAAATTTTCATGTAAAACTCCATTTTTCGTGCAATAAATACATTTAAATTGTTGTTCAAGTATAATAAAAATCGATGTTTGTACCTATATACGTTCCTATGGACTGTAAAATAGCGGGAGCGATTTTGATGAAATTTTCAGGCAATCTTTAGGTTAGCCCAGCGGGTAATCCTGTGAAGTTTGGTAGCTAGCGATCGGAAGTTTGGACGCGGGCGAAGCCGCGGGTATTGCTAGTATGTATATATAAATACGAAGGTATGAAGAGTTTTATATGCCATACTTGGGAAATTATTGATTCCCCATACAATCTTTCATCCCCCTTTTCACCCCCTTAAAGCGTGATTTCTACCTACAGTAACCTGAGTCAGTTCATACCAAATTTCATCTAAATAGTTCAGTGGATTTTCAGTTCATCATTTTTCATGTTAATCATTACAAACAAACATACAAACATATAAAAAACATATATTTTTTCTGTTTATAATAGTAGTACAGATATAGATATAGATAAACGAATCTTTGTCGGAAGTAATTCTACAATTATAGTAAATCGCTTTCAATGAGTATCGATCACATCATTTTATGTATTTGACATTTAAACAAAGAGAAGTCGGAAGTTTGCTTAAAGTTCTAATTACTTTGAACTTGTATTAAAACTTAAATAAGTTTCTTGAAGCGATAATAGAATCTTAGTAGTTGTATTTTTTTTTAATTGTTATTATATTCAATATATTTGCATCATAGACGTAGAGTATGGACTGACTCTCATGAAATTGACCACTCTCTAGAAAGAGAGAAAGCGAACGTGCGGCCAATACCTTTCTTTTATTCCAATTTGAATTTATAAATGTAATGTAAAGAAAAATGTAATATCGTTGTAAATTATAATATTATAATGAAATGTAAAATGCTTATAAATAAATAATACTTTATTAATCGTATTAAACTCTACCTAAGTAAGTATTGAATAATTTTAAATTATCTGTTTCAATCCATATTTATAATTTAGATTCAAATTTAAAAAAGCCTAATATTATACGCATAAAATAACATTATCAGTCTACTATAAAGGCGAAAGTTTGTATACTTGTATGTATGTTTGTGACTCCTTTACTCTACACGGCCAGACCAACACTTAGGCTATGGCCTGGAGTAGAACATAAACCCTAATATAGACCTAATGACCTAGTAATAATAGA